ATATTTACCTTTCTGTACTTTGTCACACAACAAGTAGACTTCATCACCACCTGTGACACAGCCGGAGTTGCGATCCATGCGGCAAATCTTTAGATTGGAAGCCGACGGGGCTTCTGTGAAAGTTCAAGAAATATATCACGTGGTTTATACTTCCATAATTTAATTTAATTTAATTGTAATTTAAGCTTTTTAAAATCATTATACGGCTACTTATAATTGTAATTTTAGCTTTTTAGCCTTTTTATTCCGTTTTTAATCTTGTCATGTGCATTTGAACATTTTATGAAATTTGCGCATTATAAATGTTATTATTATTATTAAAAATGAGGTATCAATCAGCTCTGAAGAGAGAAATTATGTGCACACTGTAAAACAAGTTGAAGTACATCCATTACATGTAGGTATTACGACAGTGTACATGTACATCTGTACACTAGTTTTAGCGCAGTGAATTCAGAAAAATATTGTCCACACCCTCCACAGAAGGCTTTTTGTCCTACCTCCACCCCCATAGAAATTCCAGGTCAGGTTCATACTTAACAATTTTGGCTTTTGACAAGTTTCTTTCCTCTCAGAATCAGTTTTGAAATCACTCTTCGACTAGAGAAATTTCTTTCAACTCAACTCACTTGAATCATACACTGGATTTGAGATGCAAGGTGGTAAGGCTTTTGTAAAACAGCCACCATCATCAGGGAGATATGCCTGAAAGCACAGTCTGACGGCATTCAAGTTCATACTCTGCTTCTGGTCCTCCACCATTTGGCGAACTTTTTGTGACTCCTCCGCTGTGACAACAAAATAAAATGAAGGTACACTTTTTAAAAATACCTGTCAGAGGTGCTATGACCAAATGGTTGGCACACTGAACAGTACCCTGAGACAAGTGGCCCGGGTTCAAGCTCTTGCTCTGGTCACTGTGTTCTTTTCTTGGGCAAAACACTTAACTTTCACAGTGCCTCTACCAACCCAGGTGTATAAATAGGTACCACATGACAATAGAGTAGGGGGAGTAGCCAAAAATGCATTGTACATGTACCGCTAGTCAATAAATGGTGTGGATACTGGGATAAGCTTTGGCAAGGTACAAGTACTTTGGCCCAACGCAAACTTTTCCTTTCATATATTGTACATTCAAATGAAGCAGTTTTGTAATGGTATTCTCCACACAATCCTTAAGTTTATAATTCCAAGTTTAAAGTTTCACTTCTACCAGACATTCATTTATTATATTATTATATGTATACATGCATGTATGTACATTGTACATCACCTAGATCCAACAGGAAGTACATGTACTCAACATTACAAGTCATTTATTAGTAAATTATCCCTTAAGTTATAAATCCATGTACCTGCCACAGCCTCAGCCATGGTCCTGTTAAAAGTAGCTGTTTCGCCATCTGCTAACGCTTGATCACCCACCAGTTCCATATCAAAGCCCTTGCTGTCTGCTGTCAGTGCGTGTAGAGTTGCTGTGTGAAGGGTCTGCATTTTTATGTAACGTTCCATCAACACTTTACCCACACTTTTCTTTGTCACATGTTGAATACCAAGATTTGGAAAGCTACAAGTGCATGGAAGAGTTGACAGAAATATGGTATTGCCTTAAATCACAAAATCAACATAAAAAATACAGACTAGGAAGTGGAACTGAAAGTACTTTGTCTCTGGACTAAGAAACTGAGGGGTTTTATACCTGCTGACTTCTTAAGAATCACAGACATGAGATTTCCATCCTATTAGTGCCAGGATTTCAGAAGGAAACCTGACCATTGAATTCTGAGAAACTCCTAAGATCTCTGAAGCCATTCTGAACATTTCTGGCTACCATTCCCAATATCTGTTTTGCAAACTTGTAGTTGATGTTGTCATCAGTAGTTTTCCCTTGAATTAAATTAGAAAACTGGGGAACATCTACAAGTACACTGACATTACTTTTCTTGCATTGTTTGAAAGTGCACAAATCTTTAGCTTGGCAAGGGCATATGAACTTTTTTTGGATCATTTTTCAGGAGAGTCAAATTGCAGACTGTACAAGTACATGTACTATAAGAGGGTAACCTTTTTAGCCTGGACTAACTAGCAAACCATAGTAAGAACTTGCCCAAAGGGTTACAAGCACAAACATTTGTTTTCTTTGCACCCTGTACCAGTTAATCTACGACACTTTACCTTGCTGTCATTCCATGCTCTGGACCAATCTGGACAGTGACCGCCCCATTGTTGGAATTCTTGCCAATCAGACTGTGCGCATGCGGCATGGGAGGCTCATCAACTGTCACTAATGATACCACAATACGGGCGGGACCGTGATAGTTACACAGTTGAACAGAGGGGTATGACTTCTTACCCTTCTCAGAATATTGACCGGGCAGGCCACCGTGAGACGGTCCCTCACATGGGTAACGAAAACGAAAACCTCTCTGTATGAAGAAAAAAATTAAAGCAAATCACATTTATTTACCAGTATATTGGATACAATGTCTACAGGTAATAATATTATGAAGGGACTGACTATTCATTTCTTTTTATTAGCAACTGCCTTGCAAAAACAAAGGACAGGTGCTTGAAACATCCAGGAGCTTCCACATCGTAGATGGAGACCACTTCCATGACTGGCAAATCTTGGCAACCCAGCCATGAGCCCTCATGCACAAGGAGAAAACAGGCACCCCTCGAAATGATAAAACAGTTGAAAGTGAGGGAAAGGGGCAAGGGGAAAGCTTGTGAGAAGAGCCCTGACACTCAAGAAATACTCATGAAAATGTTCACCAAAAGTCGACTGTGAGAGTGCACTTAAGTGCAAGAGCTGACTACAAAGGTCAGACCAGTGTTTGTTGTTGTTAACTCTCTAAACTGAATTTAACTCCAGCATTTAATTAGCACTGACATCTTAATTAATATCTAGTGTACATATGTACACTGTAACGTGCTTACTTGTTTAGGTTGCTCAAGGATTTCCATGTAAGGACCTAAAAGAAATCAATCCAAAATTAGAGATTCTCACTGCTACATAGAAGAATATCTAGAGTATCCCACTTAACATTAGAAAATTACAGAATTCACAATTGACATGTATGATGTAAAGCTTTCGATGAATTAAAATTGTTCCAAAAGAGCCCATTAATGTACCTTATAACTTATAATCTAATTACTTTTTTATGACAAAATAAGTTGAAAGTAGAGAGAATAAAGGAACTGACAATTTCTGGTCTAAGTCTTGATTTGGAAGTAAACTCTTCACACAAATATCAATAACTACATAAAACAAGTGCCAAACTAAAACAGCTCTGACTTCCCCTCATGTTTCTGTGAGTACTAAATACTGAGTTTTCACATACACTTGGGAAATTAAAGCACACATTACCAAGTGTTTGTGAATGAACTCATAAAGCAGTATGATACCTGAATATGTGGCTGTAGGCACCTGGAGTGCCGAGATGTCTGGTAGATATCCAGGAGTCATAATATCCATCAATAAGCTGTCAGTTAGAGTTTCGCCTATCTGTCTCTCTGAGTTGGTCGCCATTTTGGCAGAAGTTGGCGAAAATGTGCGAGTGTTTTCCTGTAGGCTGTGTGATGTTACCTATATCTCTTTTAAATGAAACAAGAGAGAAGAAACAGCTTATGCATATACTATACAAGTAGCAAGTACCCTTGTTAACTGAAAAGCAGTTTTTGATTGGGTAACATATTACATCCTGCCTCAAACTGTGCAACTCCCTCCTATAGCAATCTTGCTTACTCCCAAAGAGGTCTCAGAATTTTAGCCAAATTTCACAGGTCCGTACTTTATGTATCTCAAATGTTTTTGCAGTTCCTTCTCCAAGTCTTGGTTTCTTCTCAAGGCTAAGAAAGTATCAGGTCTTCAGAAAATATACTAGTTTCACCATCTCACAAAGTATCAAATTCACCATTCACTACCCTTTCTCTGGGGCAATAACAGTTTGCATGCAACCATTACAGTAACGACACTCAAACTGTGAACACTTGACAGTTTTTTGTACATTTTTTTATGGTGACTATAGAATGCAGCCTCTTCATATAAATGTATAATGTTAGCATTTTTAAAGTGTAAAAATAGTTAATATTCTTGTTAAAATTAAGAGCCAGCCCTGCATTCTATGGTCACTACGAAAATGTAGTAAAAGAAAAATAACAAGTGTTCACGGTTTGAGTGTACTCAATCACTGTAAATACCTTCGAAAGCTCACAGATAAAGAAGAGACCACTCGCAGAATCATTTTGTTGCCATAAAATGCTGAACATCTCCATGAATCAACTTCAAAATTCTGTATCTAAACCTCACTCACAAAGTGTATCAACAATTACACTGTGGTGTCTATGGCCAACTCTCGCAATATTTGTCAGTATGACCTTAAAAACCCAGGCGCTGATTTCAACAATGTGTAGTTCCAGCAAACATCCATACCTCCCCCAAGGAAGGGATTTTTTCTAACACCTCCCCACACCTCTGGAAATTCCAGTTAAGCTTTATACATGTCTTTAAATTTTTTGGTCTCA